ATGTAGACCAGGCTGGCCTTGAACTCACAGAGATCCGCCTGCCTCTGCCTCCCGAGTGCTGGGATTAAAGGCATGTGCCACCATGCTTGGCTTCTTCTTCTTTTTAAAATATTTGTTTTAGTGTATCTATGTATTGCTTGCGTGTGTATAAGTGTACCTGTGTTGTGCAGTGCCTGAGGTCAGAAGAAGGTGTTGGATTCCCCTGAAACGGGAGTTTTGGATGGTTAGCTGCCATGTGAGTGTTGGGAATCGAACCTGGGTCCTCTGCAAGAGCAGCCAGTGCTTTTAACTGATGAGCCACCTCTCCAGCCCCAGAACTAGGGCTTCTTAAAAAAAAGCGGTTGAGTCTAAGAATGGAACGAGAAATACATAAAATGAACCTGGAATATTTTGTCATCTTAAATAATAAATAGCAACAACAAAAATGCTACTAAGATTTGCTGGAGTAATATTCAAAGGACAGAGATGTTAAGGGAACGTTGGCACTTACTGAATCCCCTACTGGGCAAATATGGGAGAATTTGTGCATCAAAAACAATAATGGCTAAGCAATCATTTCTAAAAAATATTTTATGTGTATGAGTCTATTGCCTGAATGTAAGTGCACTTGTGCCATGCAGTATCCTCAGAGGTCAGAAGAAGGCGTCGATCCCCTGGAACTGGAGTTAATGGATGGTTGTTAGCAGCCATATGGGTGCTGGGAACTAAATCTGTGTCCTCTGCAAGAGGTTTCCTAGTGCTTCTCACTTAAAAATAATCAATGCACTTTAATTCTAGCACTCAGGAGGCAGAGGCAGGTAGATCTCTGTAAGATCAAGGACAGCCTGATCTACATAGCAAGTTCCAGGCTAGCTGGGACTACAGGGAGACTGTGTCTTCAAAAACAAACAAAAATCTCTTTAGTAGCTAGTGAATTTTTCTCATAAATCATAAAAATTAAAAAATATTTTTGAAGATAGAATTATGTCATTTGGAAATGTTTTTCATTTTCAGGATGAAGTTCCTGATGGAATTAAGTCTGCGAGCTACAAGGTATGTATTTACATTTGCTGATGTGTCTTAATATCTTATGAAAAATCTTGAAAAATCCATTTTCCCTGCCATCTATTACTCCCTTTCTCTGCTCTCCTTCACAGTGAAATCTTTTGAATGTTGGTATGTCCCTTTACCCTTTAATATTTAACTATGTATAAGAGAATTTGAGTTTTAAGAAGTTTTTGAAGGGGTTGGAAAGATGGCTCAGTGGTTAACAGCACTGGCTGCTCTTCCAGAGAACCCAGGTTTGATTCCCAGCACCTACATGGTCAGGAAAAACCCTCCATAGCTCCAGTTCCAGGAGATTCGATGCCATCTTCTGGCCTCTACAGGCACTTCACTGCCCATGGTGCACTTACATACACGCAGGTAAAACAGACATAGTCTTAAATTTAAAAAAAAAAAAATTAAAACAATGAGACCACTTCATTTATCTTGTGTTCCCTAAAAACGCACTCATTTCTGTCCTTTTGGTGTCCTAGTCTGCACAGTAATTGGTATGGTCATCCTAACAAAATAGGTCATCCTATTTTTGGTGCTTAATAAACATCTATTTTTGGCCTCCTGATTGAGGTGTTGTCTTTCAGCTGTGGTGATAACTGATATGTTACAGAATTTCATGAACTAGCTTGTTTTGTATGTGCTGTGCATGGGACTATTAGAAAAAAAAGTATGTACATATGTTTAGACATAAGAAATGGGGTTGTTAAAGAATAGTTTTAAAATACTGAAAGCTGTTAGCATGCTTTTTATAAGACTTGGTAGGCCCAAGTATTCTCTCAATCATGGCATGGGAAGAACCGAGACATGACATGGTTAACTACTTACTTTATGGAAGTTAGGTCATTAGGAAAGCAGGGCCTTGCCTCTTCTTCTTCCTGGAAAATGTTACCTTGTGGACATTGTAATAAGTAGTTATCAGAGCTAGATTTTTTTTATTTTGTGAACATAATAGTAAATTGTATTCTGTAACAAAACCAAGAAGGCAAAGCCTTTTACCTACTCTTTTTGGCTGTGTGAGCCAGTTGTAATGTATGAGGAATGTAGGAGTTTATAAGTTTTGAAGCCAGGTGCAAAGAGAGTCTCAGCAAACTTCTAAATTCCTTAACATGATTTTTTCAGGTGGCATATGCCCTTATCCCAGCACTCAGGAGGTTGAAACAGGAGAATTACGAGTTTGAGGCCAGCTTGGACTACAAAATGAGATCATGTCTCAAAAACATAAAAGGAAGTGAGAAAAAGGTTTTAAGTTAATCTAATTGTTTTCCTTTTCATTTAGTATTCTGAAGAAGCCAATCTCATTGAAGAATGTGAACAAGCTGAACGACTTGGAGCAGTGGATGAATCACTGAGGTTATTTTTTTGAGCAGTACTTTGTTTCTTTTGTATCACTTGTTAATGAAGAAAGAATAACACTATTTCCTTTATTTGAAGTGAGGAAACCCAGAAGGCTGTTCTTCAGTGGACCAAGCATGATGATTCTTCAGACAGCTTCTGTGAAGTTGATGGTATGACCTTCGTTATAGTGTGTATTATGTTCAAAATGATACCAAGAAAAAATATCTCTCCCTCTTTATCTCTGTCTCTCTCTGTCTCTCTCTTTCATTGTATATTAAACTCAGGGCTTTGCACATGTTATACCACTGAGCTGCTCTAGGCCCTCATCCCCAAATTATTTTAAAAATCTGAGTCCTAACAGTTTGACAGTTCTTCAAAAAGCTGAATATGTAGAATTATAGAATTTAACAATTGTCATTCCTAGGTATATAACTCAGAAGAATTGGACAAAGACTCAGACACAGGGTAGACCAATATTTATTATAACAGCATCATTCACAATAGCCAACAGGTGAAATGATTCATCTGTCCATTACAAGATGATTAAAAAATAGATGCCACATTTTGATCATATATATATATATAATATATATATTATATATATGCCTCACACACACATGCAAATACTACTGAGCCATAAGAAGGAATGGGGTTTCAACACATGCTACAACATGGCTGAACCTTGCAAACATGCTAGGTGAAATAAGCCAGACACAAAGACAAGTACTGTACAAATCCACTTATATGAAATATCAAGAATAAGCAAAATCACAGCAACAGAAATATAAGAGGTTACTAGAGGTGCAGGGGTGGCATATGGGGAGTTGTTAAATGATTGTTGGAATGATAGAAAAGTTTTGAAAACAAAAGTTTTGATTATACAACATTATGAATATAACTAATCGCACTTAATGGTTCACTGAATATAGTGGAACCGGTAAATTTTGTTACATGTTACTACAGTAAAAAAAAGTTTCTGGAAAAAAACTTTGCCTCTTAAGTCCTGGAACTCACTATGTAGACCAGGTTGGCCTCGAACTACAAAGATTCACCTGCCTCTGCCTCCCAAGTGCTGGGATTAAAGGTGTGCGACACCACACCCAGCTTATTTTTTATGTTTCATTTTTATTTCATGTGTGCGAGTGTATTGCCTGCATGTGTGTAAGTGCACCTGTTTCATGCAATGCCTGAGGAGGTCAGAAGAAGGTGTTGGAGTCCCTGGAACTGGAGTTACAGATGGTTGTTAGCTGCCATGTGGGTACTGGGAATCGAACCTGGGTCCTTGGCAAGAGCAGGCAGTGCTCTTAACCACTGAGCCCTCTCTCCAGCCCCAAGTTCTGCAGTTTTACATATCTAGTAGTTTACACAATTTAATGCAAAAGTAACTAATGTAGGGATTACAACTATCTCTTCTGTTAAAATGCTGTTGGGCTATAAGTATTTTTCTTGATGCTGTCTTTAGAGGAGAGAATATTGAACTATGATGTCATGTCTGCAGCATCTTAAGCAAAGCCAGAGTGCTGGTACTGCTAAAATTGAGCAGTCTTAGAACCTATTAGGACTCTGATTAAGATTTATTGATTGTCCTATTCTTTTTCTAGTATCGTCCTTTTTCTAAGTTAGATTGTTAGCGTCTTAATTGGCTGAGCAAAACTAAATCGAATTTGAGTTTTGGCATCCTTCTGTGGCTCTTTAGTAGTGGATTAATTTTTAAAAATTAGTAAAAAAATGATAAAGGTAACTTTAATTACAAATAAAAGATGATTCTTATAACCCCTATAAAAGAAAAGGGAGGTGGGCTGGAGAGATGGCTCAGCAGTTAAAGAGCACTGGCTGTTCTTGCAGAGGACTCAGCTTTGAGTCCTGGCACCCACATGGCAGCTAACAACCGTCTGTAACCCCCTCAGGCATTGCACGACACAGGTGCACTGACACACATGCAGGCAATACACTCACACACATGAAATAAAAATAATAAATAAAATATTAAAAAATAGTAAATTTAAAAAAAGAAAAAGGGAAAGGGCTTTTTAAAATTCCATGGCCTCTTTTTGAAAAAAGGAAAGCTTTCCTTAATAGAAAATATGCCCATATTTTGACATATGCTTATCTGTAGTGTCTTTCTATTTCCAAAATCTGAAAGTAACATTTTCTCCTATGAGTTTACTACAGACTCATTTAATGTGAATATTCATGTATTTCACTGCAGATCTATATACGTATGTGTGTGTTAGAGAGAGAGAGAGAGAGATTTTTTTTTTTCTCTCCTAGTGCTTGGGATCAAATCCAGGATCTTGATTGTCCTGGGCAGTTGTTCTACCATTGAGCTACCACCTCAACCCTGTGGTCTCACTTTAATTTCCTGATAATTATTATTGCTGCCTGGAAACATCTTAGTTCCAAGTTCTTAAATAAGTATTTCATCTCTTCCTTTCTCTTGATAGCCTGTGACTTTGTTTCTGAACTGTACCTCCAGCCCTGCTGCCCTAGGCCCTGCTGGACTAACAATGCATGTTGCATGAACTGTATCACCTTTGTAAAGGTCAGAAAGTTCTCAGTTCTAGGCCATGCTGATCTCAAGGACACTATATGGTTACAGATTTC